TCTTAATAGTGACCCAATTTAGTTATCGATAATCAATGCATAACCTCAAGGTTCCATCCTTCTTCTTGGCGAACAATGTTGGTGCTCCCCATGGACACGTACTAGGTCTAATGAACTTTTTATCCAGTAATTCTTGCAATTGTGCCTTTAATTCTCAATGTTCTGTTGGCGCTATATGATGTGGTCTCATAGAAATTAGTGAAGTCCCAGATTAGAGCTTGATCGTAAAATCTAACTCACGTTTTGGGGGTAATCCTGGTAGTTCATCAGGGAAAACGAAAACATACTCACATACCACATGTGGTAGTCCCAAATCCTTTCGATCTTCGTCTTCCAAAATTAAGCTGACCAACCATCTAGTTAGCTGGTCATGCCATCACGATTTACGACATGTTGGAAATAGAGAATCCTATCTATCTCCCTTAAATTGGAAATGCATGTGAACACTGTTTCATAGTAACAACTGATATTGGCTCGGTGAACTAATAACCAATCCATTCCTAGAATGACATCAAAATCAGACATCTCCATAACTCTCAGATCAGAGATCAAATGTGAACCAAAGACTTCTAGTTCATAAGATTTAGATACTAGATCCACTCAAGTTTGACCACCCAAGGGTGAAGCGATGCTCATAACTATCTCTAAAAATTTTGGCTTTAAACCCAGACTTGACACACATGTAGTGGATATAAAAAATGTGAAGCACCAAAGTCGAATAATACTTTAACCCAAGAATTCATGAGGATCAACAAACCTTGAATTACTGATGGGTTGCTAATATTTTCCTCTTCTTGACGAGCGTACGTCTTTCCTGCTGTATATTGGTTAGATCCCCATGGCTTCTTTCCATCTCTAGTTCCCTATGGTTGTGTTCTTGGGTGGCCTGCATTCTTGGAGCCTTGTGCCTATCCCTTATTGGTTTGAACATTTTGAGTAGGCCTAGAACCTTATCTTGGCTAACATTTGTTAGAGTGTTGTGCCCCTCATTGATCTATAAATACTCCCCACCTTTAGGGCACTCATTCCGACAATGTCCCGATTGACCACATTTGAAACACCTTCATGTTCATTCATTTGCAAAATTTTCGCCTTGTTAGTTTCCCTAGTTCTGCCTTTGCTGTTGCTGCAATCCTCCAACATAGGGTACAGGTATAGAATGTTTTCTAATGTTTCGAAATGGACCTTGTCCTTGTGGTTGGTTATTATTTCTTTACCAATTCACTACTATTCCCGAAGCATACCTTGAGAGGTCCTCAAACCGGTTTGCATATTAGGTCACTGACATTTTTCTTTGCTTCAATTGAAAGAACTCTTAAACCATCTCTTGCCCAAGTGAGTTAGGGAAACATTTTTCCATAAGAAGTCGTCAAACTGCCTCCAAGCTAGTGTCGCTACTTCTCGTGTACTTTTAATCATGGGAAATTTGGCCAAAACCTCCCTATTGGGTCCCTTTTTAGTGAAAAGAACAACCCATAATTTTTTTCCTTCATAAACCCCCTAACCTAGAGGCACGTACATGATGGAGGACATAGAAACATGTTTCTATTTCTTTTTTGACAATCTTGCCCTTCCATATATATGTCTACAAATCTCTCAATGTGATTGTCGTTCCCTTCCTAGAGTAGTTCTCCTTCATCGATTTTTTTTTCCAGTTGGTAGGACATTAACCACTGCTTTCATCGAGTTGCAAAGCAAGAGAGAGTTGTGAAGCAAGATTCATCGAGTATAGCTTTATCGAGTTGGAGATCTTCATTCAATCTCTATTGGAGTTAGGGTTGGAGTTTCGTTCGTGTTGGAGTTCAAGTTTGTTTCAAACACTAGTTGATTGTTGTTCAAGTTCAATCACTACATTAGGTATGTTTAATTTTCTGATTGAAATTTGTTTTTGTTGTATGTGATTTGTAATGGTTTTCCAGTTTGTACTCAGTATTTTTTTTTTTTTTTTGGTTATTGATATCCTGTTCAAGAAAGACAGTAAAGTTTTGCTATAGTAGTCAGTAACATTTTACTTTGTTTTTGCATAAAATTGACAGCAAAATTTTACTGCTTTGTGACATTTTATTTGAGGATGTTATGTTTAATAATGATTGCAGAATTACACACTAAAATTATGTTTTTGTAGTTGTCTATTAACTTGTGACATTTTATTTGAGGATGTTATGTTTAATAATGATTGCAGAATTACACACTAAAATTATGTTTTTGTAGTTGTCTATTAACAGGTAAATTTTATTGTTATATATTATGCAGATTTGAAAAATGATACCACCTCTTATGTTGTTATGAAAGTATTGTGACTAGACCATTGTGTTCAAGGCTGTCTCAAATTGCACATTGAAAGATTTGACTAATTTTTTTAGTTGTAAATTGAAGAAGTTTGGTAATAGTGGTTCCATTCTGTTATCATACTGTTTACTTGGACATTCATAATGTATGATTGATGATGATTGTGATTTTCAGAATATGTTATCTCTTATCTATCCTCTAAGTGTTGACTGGGTTGATGTGACTGTTCTTGAAATGTGCAATTCAAATGAAAATCTTGGACTTGTTGATGAAGTTACATAATCGAATATTACTAGTGGATCCAGCCTTATTGATGATCAAATGGATTTACTCCTAATGTTTTGTAGACATGATGAAAGGCATTTGTTGTCTGCTGGATAGGTGAATGGAATTAGGCATGTAGGTCAAAAATCTGTGGGAGGTGCAAACAATTTCCGAAAAACGTTATGCAAATATGCTATTGAGATAGAATTTGAGTTTGTGTACGTGAAGAATAAGAAGTGTCGAGTCACTATTGTGTGTTCACTCAGGAATCCAAAGGTTGTTTATGGAGAGTACATGCATCTCTAGAGAGAGCTAATGGTTTTTTCTATATTCGGACTCTACATGATGAGCATAGTTGTGGTGTTGTAGTTCATACTTCTAAAAACTCAAGGATGAAATCAAATTTGGTTGCTAGTTTGATTGTTAATGAAGTTCGTGCAAAGCCCCAAACTCATCCAATTGATATTGTGCGTGATTTTATAGAACAATACAGGCTCAACATTACATACAATCATGCTTGGTTAGGAGTCAAGAAAGCTAGGACTACAATATTTGAGGATTTTTCTATGTCTTTTGATGAGGTTCGATGGTATATGGATATTGTCATGAGCACAAATCCTGGCAAATATTTGCATCTTGACTATGACTATCAAAGCGGACATGACGGTTCAAGAGATTCTTTGTTGCATTCAACGCTTCCATTCAAGGGTTTAGACATTGTCGTTCTCTTTTGTTTATTGACGATATTTTCCTAAACGGAAAATTAAGGGAACCTTGTTAACAACTATATCGAAGGATGGGGATCAAAGTACATACTTGTGAATAGTATGTATCTGTCACAATATATTACATGGTAAAATTTTACTATTTCGCTGAGTAACATTTGACTGATATTCAAAGTATTATTTTGCTTATATTCAGAGTAATATTTTTGTGTATTATATGTGCTAATTGTAAAATTTTATGTCATTCATGTTTTTTCCCTCTTGTAATGGGTATTGTCGATACAGAGACTACGAACAGTTGTGAATGGTTTCTTACTCATTTGTCAAATATATTGTTGGATAAAAGACTGATTACTTTCATATATGATCGGAACGCTAGACTTTTGAAGGCTTTATCCAAGGTTTTACCTACTGCTTACCATTGTTTTTGTCTCCAATACTTGAAAGGCAATTTGAGGGATAAGTTCTTCGGTGGAAATTTCAGCAATAGTTTTAGGACTAGACTAGTTTATCTACTTTTTTCATGTGTTTATGCTCCAAAAATGGGATGTTTTAATCAGTGTTTGAGAAAATTACAAGATGAGGGAAAAAGAATTGTTTGTAGATTTCTATCCAATTTGCCCTGTGACAAGTGGACTAATGTCTATTTTAAAGAACAAAGATAAAATGAAATGTACTTGAATGTGGTGGAGTCATTCAATTCATGGATCCACAAAGCTCGACATTTGCCCACCATGAAGATGGTTGATTCAATTAGGTTGAACATCATGGATTCTATGTCAAGACAGAGAGAAGCTAAGAAGTGGAATACTTTTCTTTGTTCAGAGATGAATTCAACATTAGTAGCAGCTCTTAAAAGTGGAAGAACTTGGTTCACGTGATCATGTTTTTGAGGTTCAATCTCGATCGTCAGTCACTGTCGATCTCTTGAATAGAACTTGCCCGTGTTACCAATAGCAAATGAATGGATATCTTTGTGCTCATGTAGCGACTGCTATCCAAAAAAACGGTGGTGATTTGCACTCACATAAGGAACCATTTTTTAACTCTAGTAACTTTAGGGCTTGCTATGCTAAATCCGTTTATCCAATACCCCCACTGTTGAAAAACCTGTTGCTTTTATAAATGATGTTGTCCTCCCTCCGATTTGTAATAAGCCACCTAGTAGGCCAAGGAAGAATAGAATTCCATCTAGGGGTAAGAACATAAGATGAGTACAGTACGGAAGATATGAGAAGTACGGTCATAATATGAAGACTTCTAAAGAGACATTGCCATGAAAAACATTATTGCTTTGTTAATAAAATTATGAAAATAATGCAATACTTATGCAAAAATAACAGTCTATTTTGTACTTTGTTGTTGAATTTTTTTGTGCAACACTAAGTTGTAAAATAGTTTAAGTTGGCCATTACAATTTCGTTGGAATTGAAATGCATCATTCTATCCTATCATTACAATGATATTAGTCCAAACAAGTAAAATATTGCTATGTAATACAGTAACATTTTACTATAACATAATAAAATAAAATGTTACTTTGTAACACTATAACATTGTCTAGTTCATCATGGGTCCTTGTGAGTTTTACAACCAAATATATCCAACCAACCTGCACCAAAACCCACAAAATCAGAAAAATGAAGTGTATAATCCTTTATCATAACCATAATCGCATCTATGAATAACAGACACATACTACCAAATGGCAAGTAATCATATTCCATTATATATATATATATCATCCTTTAATATCCTTTCCAAAATATCATTTACCAAAAAAAAAAAAAAAAGTAAAACCCTACTTACATCTTTTACACCATTTACAACATCCAAGATATTTCTCAAAAAGCTATATTGTTTTTTCTAAATTCTATTTGTTGTTTCATTGGCATCATCCTTTGCGATGTCATGCTTTCATTTTCACATTCTTACTTTTGTAGTCTTCTTCGGTCCACGATCTCGGATGATCATTTAAGAACTCATGCACCAATGTTGCTCGAAAATCATTCATTTTGTTGTCGTCCAACTCTTTTGCAATAGGTTTATATTTGGCAAGTTGGTGCATGAGATAACAAACAATAAAAGATGGAACTTCATCCTTGGTTGTCCAAAACAAGCAATGTCCAATGATATGGAACTTCATCCTTTGCATTCCAATTGGAGTTCATTATAAAGAATAGAAACATATACTTGCTGAGATATGCCTCCAGGTATCTGTCCAGTGGATGTTCCCTCATCTTCCCGTACTTTCATTTCACTAGTGACTGCATATAATCATTTTAATAAGGAAGATTACTCTGTCTAACAATAACATTTTCTGGTTTTCAAAGTTAAATGTTAAGTTGTTAAGTGATATTCATGGCGGCTTACCCAGCACAATGACTTATGTGGGTGAATTGCATCATGCCCATTCACAAGTATTTTTGCAAAACTATCAATGAGCTAGAACAAAAAAAAAAAAATGAAATGTAGTGAGATTAGTAAGATGATTATAGTTAATTAGTACAATTTCACTTTTCAAATTTAATAAATGCAATTAAAGATCACTTACATTATTTGCAACATCAACATCCTTGAGAATTACATGGATATCATGCAGTGTGACAAATATTCCATCTGTCCTCCCGGACCATATAATTGCATTGATAATAAAAAAAGAATATGATTAAATTTAAAATGTTTAAAATTCTATTTTATAAAGCAAATTAAGGTTGTCTTACTCTGATGATCCCAATTTGTAGATCTTCTTCAGTAGAAGCACATCCTGTTTGTCAAGGACTTTGACACTTGCAGCCTCAGTGGAGTAGACAATCTAGTTATGTGGTTTTGGTTGACTTAGAGGCATCTTGTCCACATCAAGCAATTCATGTCTTTGTTCTCAGTTTATTTTTGAGCTTCTTTTTTGCTGTTTTTTTGGCTTTGCCATTATTGTTGCAGGTACTGGATCAGGTACTGTAGTGGTTCCCTTCAATGGTCCCACAAAAGGTATGATCTGCCTATGTTCCTCCCCTTCATTTGCAGGTCTTGCTTCTTTGCTTACATCTTTTATCTACCTTCTTTTCTTTCTCCCTTGTTCTTCATATTCAAATCCAGAAATTTCCTTTTTCTTCCTTTCCTTAATTTTGATTTTCCGAACCATAGAAGTTTGCAAAAGCTCGACCATTAAAGGAACTGCTTTCAATCCAGCCGGAGAAGGTGTGATCTCTTGTGGCTCCTGCTCAACATGTGCCATTCCACTCATTGATTTCAAGATATTCTGTGTTGCATTATGTACGGTAACCTCTTGTAGTTGCTCAAACAATTCTTCTTTTTCATCTTCTAGTTGCTTCATGCCCCTTTTTATTTCCTCAGTCTCTTGCAACATTTGGTTGATTTTTTGTGCTTGTTCTTGGTATTTGTCCATTGTTTCCCTCATTCTCTTTAATCTCTTCAACCATTGTCACATCTCATTTTTTATCTTTTTGTTTTCCATCCGAATTTTTTCCATCGTCTCACATTCAGTGAAATCCTTACGACGCACATCATCGTCGTGCTCTTGTGCTTCCTCCGCAGCTTCATTGTGTTCTCTGCTGGTTCATTTTCATCACTGTCCTCCTCCCCAGTTACTTCCTCAGATTGTTCTTCATCGTTCTTCTCACCTCCATCATCATTTTCTTCATCATCACTGTCTTCCTCAGCTTCATCTTCCTCATTTTCCTCCTCCGCTTCACAGTCTTCTTCAGTCTCTATACTTTCTCCATTATCCTCTTCATCTTGCTTTCCAACACCCAAGATGAGCTTATTCTCTTATGTTAAAATAGGCTCGAGTTCAACCTCATTAACCTGTATTTCAAACACATTATTACCATGAAAATGTTAGAGCATTCAACAAAAAAATGGAAGAGATTTATCCAATAGCACAAGTTATAAACATTTTAACAGTAAAATTTTACTCTAATTATAATCAACATTTAACTTTATTTAAAGTTACATTTTACTGTGTGCACAGTAAACTTTTACAGTATGTTGGAAAAAAAGAAAGATAAAAGAGACCTCATCAGCTTTTAGTTTCTTTAATGATCGCTTCAAGAACTTCTTCCTGAGCTTTGATAGGTCCCATCGAAGGAACCTTCGAGACAAATTTTGCTTGTCAAGTTGCAGAATAGTAGTATGCTCACACATCCAATGCTGTAAAATAATAATAACTCAAAGATTAGTTAAACACAATAAACACAGGGATTATGTAATATTCTAAATGTTTACTTACCAAAAGTAGAATAACACATCCAGTAACATTTGATGGATGCAGAAGACTCAATTGAGGATGTCAATGTGGATTTAATTATGAGAAATGTCTGAGACCTCCAATCCAAGAGCACTAATAGCTCTAATGTTGGTATGGGTCTCACGTGATGGGATGTTTTGCTCGTGTTCTCATTTTTTTTTTTTCATTTTTTTTTTTTTTTTTTTTTTTTCCAACTCATTAGAGCTAGTTTAGTGGTGCAAATTTAGAGGTCCCAATCACTGCTGTTTAATTATAGTGGACCATGCATATGTAGTCTTGCTTTCCAAATCTTCCACAAACTTGATAAAATTCCATCCAATTGTTTAATCGGTTGTTGCAAATAGCAAAGTCGTGCAAACAAACAAACAAACACAGAATCCTAGCAACGTCCCTAACATCAACTCTCCTTTCACTTCTCATTGCACGTCCTCATGCTGATTTCAGAATCTTTACAAATATTCTCTGTACATTAGAGAATCTTCTCCGCACAAAAGGTATGTCTGATTTTTTCACATATGATGACATGTCACATATCTATTTTCTTCTTTCCCGGTTGTATCCCAAATATCAAGCTCACATCACTATCGTGTGTGTCAACCACTTTAGGGTCTAATTTGAATCCCTTCAAATCACTCCAATAAGACTTGATGACCATGACAACATCATCATCTACCTTCCTAAATTTCCTCACCTCCACTGGTTTCTTTCGAAACGACCTGAACAATAACCAGAAAGGCATTTTCTTGAAGGCTACAATGTGATGAACACTAAACTCTTGTTCTCCCATTTTATCAAAGACACAATGTTTGACCTATACTGTTTGACGTAATTCTCCTTCTCTTGTGTCCCACGCACAATCGGCCTTGTAAATTTTACTCTAAAAAACAGTAACATTTAACTATGAAAAACAGTAACAATGTAAAAAAATGCAAAAACAAGAACAATATTAAAATGGACTGTAAAAATTTATGTATTATTGATTGATGTTTATTGATATTTATTACAATGATTCATGATTCCTATATATAGAAGAGGGTGAGTGTGTAGTAGGTAAGGAGTAGGTGAAGTGGAGGTGGTAGTGGTGTAGTGGGTTAGGTTTAGTGGAGTAGGTGAGGTGGTAGTGGTGTAGTGAGTTAGGTTTAGTGGAGTAGGTTTAAGTGGGTGAAGTAGATGGAGAGTAGGTGGATTTTAACATTGACATATGGACATTGAGAAGATTAGGCAGACAAAGTACTTTCAAGCCCTTTTTCAATAGTCTAAACCAAAAGCTTTTAATGAATTGGTATGAAGTTGTATATAGTGGATCTCTCTTCAACATATCCTTGATTTACTATGTTTTATATGTATGCTTTAATGGACTAATTGTTTGTAGCCTTTTTCAGAATGTTCTGTTTCATAATTTCAGAGTCCATGATCTCTTTCATCATAATTCTAGAGTTCATGAAGTTCATTTATTTTAGGGAGACCAACTGGAAAGGCAGGACAAGTTGAGTTGCAAGACTTCAAAAGTTTTGACATAAACAAAGTTGACGTCTGTGTATGGAAAGAGCATCTCTAGAGCAAATAATAGCCCGTCATACAAGAAAATGTCAATTTTACTCTGAAAAACAGTAACAATGTAAAAAAATGCAGCAACAAGAACAATATTAACATAATGATCCAATTGTCGTTCAATTCATTTTTCAACCCAATAACAGTAAAATACCCAAAACACGAAACCAAAACACAAACAGATGTAAAACTTTTCTTAACAGTCATGATGGATTTTACCCAATTCTACACCACAATAATTGCAGAAACCCTAGATTGAACAATGAAAAATATTGAACCCTAGATTTGAAGTACTCTCCACAAATATTATAAAATGACATTTACTTCCAACAAAACAATAAGATATACAACAAAAACATAGATTGGAGTACTCTCTACAAAAGTTTCGAATACATTGATACTTTCGAACATCAGCAAAATGTAGAAGAGTGAAAAAAGTCAAAACTAAACAGATCTGAAGTTTAATACATCAATCTTCCTACGAAAAGCACAATTTTCTATTAAGATTAATTAAAGAACACATCAAAGTGCAGTTAAGTTTGCTCTGTGTTGAATTTTTCACACCATACTACTATACACTATGAAAGCAAACTTAATCACAGAGCAATCAACCAAAAATTGAAAATAAAAAACAACAATCAAGTCAATACAATCGTTCCATAACATCAATTTCATGTAGAACTAGGGTTTCAAACATCAACAGCAATAAGAAGACAATATCGATGATTTATATATGGAGTGTACGTATAACTACGGTTTAAGAAACAAGAATACCTGGTTCTAAGGAGAGGGAGAACCTGAAAAGTATAGGTGATAGAGAGAGAGAAAAAGGGTGATGTGGCTTCAATTTCTGATGCTTGAACTAGGGTTTCAAACGGTAGAGCGTGATGAACTCCTTCGATATATCTCAAATAGACGACAATGGGGCTTCAATCTCTAGTTTGAACTAGGGTTTTTGGTTGAGGGTTTGGGAATGAACAGGGACGACTATTAGAACAACTTCGAACCATCAGTTTGTCCTCTCCAACTGCCTCTTAGTTGCTATATATATCAGGGGTATTTTAATCTTTTACCTTATATTTTAATTGTCAAGGGGTTTTGCCAACAAAATTTTTTTGCTCGTCTTTTTCACTGAAAGGGCCCCTCAGCCAGAAATCACAATAATCATTTCCCACCAATGGTCTTCTTCCCCTTCCATTTGTAATGCTGCCATGGTCCCTCTATCGTGTTCATTCTAAATGTCAGAAGTGTCAATAGCTTGTTAATTTGCCTTGGCCATACTTCAGCTTTATACGGATTAGACCCACCAAAGAATTTGTATGGGTGTAATTTCTCAAATTTTGCAATCATTTCAAATTTGCTTTGTTCATATAGTTCAAATGACATCGCCATCAGAGACTCCGTTACCATTATTATTATTTCTCCACCGCCCAACCATTCTACATGATAGAATTGTTTGTAAATTTATTTTTTTTATGGGGGATGCACCAATAAATCCCAAATTAATAACTTATACACTGTTTAGTCCTAAAAATTTTCTTATAGACTAAAAGGTCCCATTACAATGTTTCAAACATCAGATTAATGTTTCGAACATTAGATTTCGAACATCAGATTAATGTTTCGAACATTAGATTCCAAACATCAGATTAATGTTTCGAACATTAGATTGATGTGCAAATAGGACTAAATGGAGCATAAGAAAACTGTTAGGACTAAATGGTTCAACTTTTCAAAAACTAGGACTTATGGGTAAATTTTCCTTTTTTTATTTATTCCTTTATTTTGTTATTATTATTTTTTTCCACAAAGAGAATAGTTAAATATATCAAAGTTTCAAAAGAAGACTTCATTCATTAAGTTAAATAAAATTACAAAACACATTAACTTACTACAGACTAGTAAATAACACAAAACATCCTTACTAAGTCGGAGTTAATACAAAACATTAGTCATAGCTACCGATACTAATAAAAAAGGGCAAACACTAAACTATGCAATTAGACATTGTCAGCTTACAAAACAATTAGCAACCTAGTTTGTCCATCCACAAGACTTCTAACCAAGGAAATCAAACAGCCATAGATAGTCTAACCGTTAGGCTAACGCCTCCCAATCCAGATGGATTTAGGACACTAGAGGGCTGTTTGTTTGGAAGGATGGGAGAGGGGGGGGGGAGGAATTGAGCTCCATGTCCAATCTACCATAGAGTCCATTGTTTGGTTGAGAACTTGTAGGTAAGATTAGGAGTCCCACCGGACTACGAATGTGGGACTCCTAATCCCATATATGTTGGACTATTGTGCCCTAGAGGGGATATAGGATAGAAATGGTGGGATTGGAATCCCATGGGATTAAGTTGTAAAATGACCCATTTACCCTCCAAATATTTGATTTCATTATGTATTGTATTTAATAAAATAAAATATAAAAATCTCAATTAAAAAAATAAAATAAAATAAAATAATTTAATTTTTATTGATGTTTATTTACTTAATTTTTAATTATTGCTATTACTAAGTAAACAATTAAAAAGGGTAAAATAGTCTATTAAGTATTTACCCTTCTTCATAATATTTCAATCAAACATTGGATTCAATAGAATAGTTATTTCTAGACATCTAATCCCATGATAAAGCAAAAATGGAATACACATCCTTTCCAACCAAATAGTCTAGGACTATACCTCCCAACACTAATAGTCCGATGGATTACAATCTCTCTTATTCAGTCTGTCTAAACAAACATGATGTAGGTGTAAAGGCACCAACGGGCTTAATACGAACCCAAACTAGTCACTTTTTTTTTTGTTTGAAGCCATGTTAATCTTTGAAAAAATGCACATCATCATAAGTAGTTGGAAGCCAACACATGGTAAAAAATATCAGCTGCTAGCTTGTACACCCAAATACGAGCATTTAAGTGCAAAAAGTGACAAGTGATACCAACAATCTGCATGCAAGGATACTGCTATGAACTCATATTTCTTAGGTCATGAATAATCCAAAAATATCTAACTCACACCATCAACCCAAGACATAAGAAAATTAGGTTGGTCAAAATGATTAAGAGTGTAAAACTCAATTCCAAGCATAAATCACATGAACCAAGCCTGAGTCTCTCCCCACCCCCCCTCCCCAAAACTAAACATGGCAGTGCCCTCACTGGAAAATTAAAAAAAATAATAATAAAGCAACCACGTCAAGAACAAGAGAGGAAGAGAATAGCACCAAAACCATCGAAAGTGGAAGAAGAGATGAGAGAAACACCCCCAACAGTGGAGCATGACCAACAGTGGAAGACCTGATATGCCAAGAAATAGTAGAAATGAGATATACAAGAGGATAGGTCCAAAGGTAGTACCCTAAAACAAATATACATACAGGCCCAACAAAAAACAAATAAAAGAAAAGGAAAAAAAAAAGAAAGAATTAAACCCAAAAAAAAGAGGAAAATATCCAAAGTATAGAGAATAGTAATAATACCATAGCTTGACAAGAACATGGCAGAAATAAGTAGGGTGTCATTGAGGCAGCAGTGGCAGCGGTGGGTGGTACTCCGCAAGAACAGAACGCATAAGAGACAGAGTCTCAAAAGCGTTCTGGCAGATATGGGACTACATATCAATGAAGGACTGCTGCATATATGCCTGAGAGACATCATAGCGTTGCTGAGACGTCCCGGTAAGCATAGAAATCGGTCTGAAGGGTATCCAAAAACTATTGAATGCAGATGTGCTCATAATGAAGGGCCTCATAGTCAGCACGAGTCATAAAGATGGATGCAAGGGGATCAGCAGAGGCGTGGGCAGTAGCGCCAGGGGCAGGTTCAGCCATGGGAACATCATTGCCCACACCCTTAGTGCTAGCATGGCCAGTAGGAGGCTGCATCGAAGGGGGGCATGTGAGACAAACTGTGAAGCCAAGTCTGCTCGGTGTACTGCAAGACCTCCTCAATGGCCACCTCCTCGAGATCAAACCAGAAGCTTGAGTAACGGCGGAAGAGGTAAGTGATCAAGTTAGCGAAGGGAAGAGGCCAAGTTTGAGAGCTCCTGGTTTGCTTGATTTGCACATCGGTCATGATTTGTACATCTGATCCCAAATAAGCTTTGAAACATCCACCCAAAAGTCGAACTCAAAGTGATGAAGAGCCCGAATAAAAGCACCGCGACGCTCCTCCTTATGCCCCAAAGGGATGACATTCCGCCGGAAAAAGACAGCAATCAACTAGAGGCGAGGTGGCAAATTGTGACGGCAAACCAAAGTGTGACTAGCATCACCCGCACGATCTGGAAAATGAGTCTGGAAGAGATGAGTCACTGGGAACTTGTCATCATATTGCTGGAATTGAGAGTTGTGGGGACGTGTGCGATGGCACCTAAGGATAGTAGCAAAGTCATCACTAGCCGACATGTCTGCAAAATAAGACAACCACAAAGAGAAAGAGAAACATAAAACATAGGCGTTAATGTATAAGGTGATAGAGTACATGCATAGCTCATGAAATAATAAAAATGCATGGAAACAACGAATGTGGTCCCACTCCCCCTAACTATTTCCCAAAACAATAACAAACCAACAACAACATTGCAATCCCCAAAACACGCAACCAATCCCAACAATGATTCCAAAATAGTCCAACCAATCCCTATACATGGAGTCAATGAATATGCCACATAGGATGGATATAAGGCAATTCAATTATGAGCATGTACCCACACACGCAACACAATAAGAAAATTCCAAGCAGGCTATGGGAAGAAGAAGAAGAAGAAGTGCATTCAAATTTTTTTTTTTTTTTTTTTTGGGGGGGGAGAGGGGGATTGTTTTTTTGTTTATTATTATTATTATTATCATTTGTTTTTTAACACTGCTACAATGCAGTAACAAGAGCAAAACAATGGAGGAGAATAAGCAGAAAAGGAGAAGACAATAATCACTTTGTTTGGTTAGAGTTTTTCAAAAACACTTTTCAGAAAATTTTAGTTTCTTGCTTTCCGTGTTTTTTTGTTTTTACTAATTTTTTTTTAATATTTTAAGCAATTTTTTTAATTTTTAGACATACCTAACATAAATATACCTAAAAAGTAAAAAAATTGTGAAAAAAACCTTTTAAAAATTCACTAAATATCAAAAATATAAAAAAACAAAATACGAGAATTCAGTATATTTTTTTGTATTTTTATGTATTTATTAATTTTTTAAAATATTTTTTCACAAATATTTTACTTTTTAGATACATCTGAGTAAGGCGCATCTAAAAAAGTAAAAAAAAGTTTAAAATTTTAAAAATATTCACTAAAAACAAAAAAAAACACAAAAATCAAAAATCCTAATTTTCAAAAAATTTAAGCCAAAACTCAAACTAAACACACTGAATAATATTCAGAAATAAATAAACAAACAAATCAAATACATGAATCAAGAATTGAAATAAAAGAAACCTAAAGGAGGACGAGAGAGATCGGCGCGTTGGTGGGGAAAGAAGTGGTCATTGCCAACGAAGATGGGAAGTGGCAGTGGTGGACCGGTGATGGCATCAGGGAGGTGGTTGGCTCGCGCGGGGGTGCGGTGATACGGTGGTGAGATGGGTGAGAAGATAGAGTCGGCAGTGTTGAGCCAACGATGGCATAAGGGTGGCGTCGGGGCAGTGGTGTTGGCGAGTCGTTTTACACACCAACAATAAACACTAAACAATACCAAATTCCTTAAAATAATAGTAAGTGCAAGTATCGATCCACAAGAACAAATGTAAAATTCAACTAATTTAATCGTTAAATTCCTAAATTAATTTTGATCAAGGAGATGATTGTTCATAAACTAATAATAATTAAAATACTTAGAAATTAAACTAGCAATTAAAAGTAAAATTGAAATTGTTAAAACCTATGGCGTCGGGGCAGTGGTGTTGGCGAGTCGTTTTACACACCAACAATAAACACTAAACAATACCAAATTCCTTAAAATAATAGTAAGTGCAAGTATCGATCCACAAGAACAAATGTAAAATTCAACTAATTTAATCGTTAAATTCCTAAATTAATTTTGATCAAAGAGATGATTGTTCATAAACTAATAATAATTAAAATACTTAGAGATTAAACTAGCAATTAAAAGTAAAATTGAAATTATTCACTTTGCTTGGTTTGAGTTTTCTAAAAACAATTATCAGAAAATTATATTTTCTTGTTTTTTGTATTTTTTTGTTTTTACTGAATTTTTTTAACATTTTAAGCAATTTTTTTAATTTTTAGACACACCTAACATAAATACACTTAAAAATTATAATTTTTGTGAAAAAAAATCTTTAAAAAATTCACTAAATACCAAAAATAAAAAAAAAATATACGAAAATTCAATGCATTTTTCGTATTTTTTGTGTATTTATTAATTTTTTAAAAGATTTTTTCACAAATATATTACTTTTTAAACACATCTCAGTAAAAAAAAATGCTTAAAATTTTTAAAATATTCACTAAAAATAAAAAAACACGAAAAACAAAAAACTCAATTCAAAAAACTCAAACCAAACACATTGATTAATTTTGGGGAAAACCTAAGGTAATGAATTTACCACTAGTTGCATAAATAAGGTCTCAACTTGAAAATCAATTATGTTACGATTTGAACCAAATAAGATTTCACAGCTACAAGTTCAAAGCATTGATCAAGAGAATTATCACATTCAATGTATAGGCACAAACCATCTCAAGCAACATGAGTCGTTTGCTTTAAACTACGGTAGCAAAACAACTCATCCCTCGTAGTATGGCCCTATCTCATACCTTGAATATAAAAGAATAGAAAACCATTTCATGGAAAACATTCAACAATCACAGAAAGAAGAATACTTGAAGAAATAATGCAAAATATATCTAAAAATATCTTGAATACCATACAACTTGTTCAAACTATTACATAATCAAAAATCAAAAAGAAAACCCTATTTACTTGGCTAGGGTTTCATCAAAACCCTGGAAATAGAATCCTAGCCACTCATGGAGGAGTGGGAAGAGGTAAAAGAAGAAGAAACCCCATGAAAGATGTTCTTGAAGCTTGAAAACCCTCAATTCCAAACCCTAGCCCTCCTCTCTTTTGAAATATTTCGGAACCCTAATCCAACATTTTTCTTGTCTTTTTATACTTCCAACTCTTTTAAACAATTCCAAACAACTGGCACATTTTCTGAGATACGGCCGCACGTGTGGGAAATGCCGCCATACGTGCGGCAAGGGTTCCACACGTGCAGAAATGGGCCTTCACATGTGCGATTTTCTTAGGCCCTGTTTGGCTGCGATGGATGGGCCGCACGTGTGGGAAGCATTTTTTTGCTAAAAATATTGATTTTTGCTCATTTTATGCTCCTACTGCATCCAACCTGATTGGCATTAAACAGACAAAATATTCAATTTGACTGGTGTTGGCACATAAATTTCAACTAAATTTATGACACGTATAGAGCCTATGATAGGAAGGTTGCAGGTAATCACTCCCTAAAAAAAGATCAACATGATCCGTTGAAGTACATAAATAAAACGACGTTGTATCTCAACAACGTTATTCAAGATACTCAAATGACACGTGGAGCCTACAAAAGATGACACCTGTAGAGCCTACAGCAAGGATACCACACAGGATGAAACCCCAAAGATCAATCCGGTTAATTAGATATACGATTAATCAGATAGCGCTATTATTCAAAATTCAAATGGCGCTATCATTCAATTTGAAATTCAAATTGAAGATGAGGCATTCCTATCACCTGATGGCCCTCTATAAATATGAGGACCACCACACAAGACGGGGGATCAAGAAATCATAAGTGAAAAGATCAGAGAGAGAGAAAGAAATTGAGAGCTAAACAAATCGTTACAAGAAAGAAGAAGAGAAGCCTAGAGAACTCAAGAGCCCAAGCTAATGGCGACGAATAGGTAAAGGGTTCCAAACCCAAGAATTGTATTTTGTATTCGAGGGTTCAAAACCCATAACAATTTCAATAAAATATATATTTTTTTAAATTGTCTTTTGTTGTTTATTTTGTTCTTCATTAATTGGAGGTTTCATTTGTATAAAATGTGTAATTAACGATTTGAAATACAGATCGGAAATAAGAACCTGGTATTCAAATAATCAATACTGTTAGTCCAAAAACTAAACAGTGGACATTTGTAACATAAATTTTGAAATGTGTTGAAACACTTCATGTTTTAAAATTTGTGTCTACAAATTCTGGCACGCCCATTGGGACCTTATTTCTCTTCCTATCTTTTGAAAAACAAAAAAAATATATATATGTATATAGTTGAAACTTACTGACGTATTCTTTTGTTATAGGAATGTAGAAGCAACTGTCAAGAGACAAACCTATACTCCAGTGGTTCTGAAATCACCAAGGGTAGAGATAGCACCCATCACCCAAGGGGCTCCGGAGCGAATGCTCTTGGCTCTCCCAAAGGTAGAACCAGCAAAATCCTGGAAAGATGCACTTCTTTCCCCTATCACCCAAGGGGATCCGGAACGAAAGCTCTTGGCTGTCCCGAAGGTAACTGGTGTGACGAAGAAAGTCACACTTCTCCAGAAAGCTGAAAGTTTGAGAAAGATTACTGAAGATTATGTGAAAGCATCGAAGCAATACGCAACTGTGAGGGCCACAGCCCGAACAAAGAGCTTTCTAATTCAAGCAAAGGAGGCTAATCAGTTTGCAACTACAACTTTTGTTGCAGCTTCAACGGGGGCAACAAAAAATGTTGTGGCCCAACTACTCAAAAGGGTAGAAGACTCCATTAAAATGGTGGAGTCTGCCTAGAAGAAAGCCTCCGCTGAAAACATGGCCATCATTAGGGCCATTGGGAGGAGGGTAATGACCAAAACTCCTGTTGATGGAAAAAAGGGCCCTGTTGTTGAAAAAGCAGTTGCGGCCTACAAACCGATAGTTTTGTTTAGAGCACAAAATCGGTCAGTCAACTCTCAAGAGCCAAAGGAACACTCGTTGGCTCGACAGGGTTCGAATAAGGAACACCCGTTGGCTCGACAGAATAAGAAACACCCGTTGGCCCAACGGGATTTGAATCAACATCAATTGGTCCGCTCTAAAAATGTAGGAACTGTTTTGAAAATTCATGAGGAATTTGCATAAACGCAAACAGTTCCTTCTATGCCCCTAGGGGCTCGACTTGATTTGTCATCCGGTCCAGTTTCGAAAAGACAAAGGCGAAGAAGAAATAAGGCCTTAAAGAACCTAGAACTAAGAACAGTGGCAACAAATGTTATAGGAGCTATTGAAAGGGCTCTCTCGAAAGATGAACGCCAAAAACAAATTGAAAGTCCTGTCTTTGTTGGAAAGTCAAACGTAGAGGAAGGTAAGCAACCCTTGGGAAATATTTCTACTTTGATTGAACTATCTATAGAGGGAATA